AGGTATATACAGGAGAGACAAAAAAGGGTAGGCCTTTTGCCTCGATTCTGAATCAAGCCAGTATATGGAGGTCTTTTGCCTCGGTTCAGGGGAACCGAAGTAGTATGTAGGTGTTTTTTGCCTCGGTTGGTTTTGAACCGAGGCGGTAGATGTCCCTTTTTTTTTCAGAAAATGGGGTTTTTTCCCTATTCAAAATCACTTTTTTTTTGTATTTGCAATGGACAAATTTTAAGTTTATGATGCATTATTTCCTACTTCAATGCCACGGAACCTACTTCACCAATGAAATCAAATGCTAACAGATCAAATAAAATTCATCACATTAACATAATAGAATGTAATGAAATTAAAATGCTAGTCTAATGTTTTCATATTTTATATTAAACAATAAGGAGAAACGAACCATGGCTTTGCAAACAGCAAAAGACGGCGAGTAACAGCCGGTGGTAGAAACGAATGACCGAAGGCGCCACGAACGGTCGAAGGCGAAGACAAACAGCCAGTGGCAGCGATGAACATTTGGTGGCGGCGATGAACGTTTGGTGGCGACGATGAACGTTCGGTGGCGGCAATATATAACGCAATTCGCGCGATAGAAATGGAGGCAACAAAGATGGAGACCATACAGACACTTTGCGTGAGAGAAATGAAGGCCATGAACCAAGAGCTTCGCCTGAGAGAAGAAGAGGAAACAACAAGGAAGAAGAAGAAAATTGCAAGGAAGAAGGGGAAACAGCAAGGAAGAAGAATGAACATTAGGTTAAAAAGTTTTGCGTTTCTGAGAAGTTAAATATCGAAAGAGATAATGTCTCGGTTCTTTTTTTAACCGAGACAATAGACCACTTACCGCCTCAGTTATTAATGCAACTAATGCCTAAAACCCTTTTCACATTAGAACTGTCAATGTTGAACATGACATACTACCTCGGTTCTGTGTAGAACCGAGACAGTAGGTCATTTTCAAAAAGGTGTTAGGCGAAAAGTCTGTTTTGCAGAGGGACAGACAAAATTTTGCAGGGTTTTAGGTATCGGTTGTTAATTTAACCGAGGTAACACTAGTACAATAACAAGAAAAGGCACCGGCTATTTTTTATTATTGGCATCGGTTTTGCAACCGAAGCATATGTGAGCGAGGTAAAAAGGACCGATTTTATGCCTCGGGTCATGGACTGAGATAAAAAGCAGACAGAAATATGCCTCGGTTCTTACATAACCGAGGCAGTATCCTATTTTTTTTTTCAGATGCAACCTGCAACCTGTTTACAGTAGGCAACCAGAAATGGTTTCAGAAACCAGAAATTGTTTCAGCAAAATTTTTTTCAGCAACAAGAAGCAACAAGAAACTGTTTCAGCAACAAGAAACGGAGTGGTGCAAGTCAATGTTTTTCACACAACCGGAAAATCCCAATCCCAATCCCAATCCCAGATCAAAACAGACCTAACATTTTACAATTTCAGAAACCCAAAGTGCTTGTGATTGTGAGTCTTCACTAGCCTAGCCTCAAAAGCAGAAGAACAAGAGTATATGAACACCTTCTGCAACGAACCAGGAAGCTCCCTTAGGGTTTCCCATCACACAGGGCTGCGAGCGGCAGAGGCAGGCAGCAACGACGGAGGGCTCGCCGATCTGGAGAGGCGGAGGCATCGGCGATCTGGAGCGGTGGATCGAGAGCGGCGGAGGCAGGCAACAACGACGGAGGCTCGCCGATCTGGAGAGGCGGAGGCAACGGCGATCTGGAGCGGTGGATCGAGAGCGGCGGAGGCAGGCAGCAACGACGGAGGCTCGCCGATCTGGAGCGGCTTGGCAATGGCGATCTGGAGCGGTGGATCTAGAGCGGCGGAGGCAGCAGTGGCGGAGGCAGCAGTGGCGGAGGCAGTAGCGGCGGAGGCAGCGACGGAGGCACGGACAGAGAAGAGTGAGAGCACGGGGGGAGTGAGAGCACGAGGAGAGTGAGCACGAAGAAGAGAAGAAGAATGGGAGCCACGGACAGAGAGAAGAAGTGAGAATGAAGAGTTAATGTCAGAACCGAGTTAGGTGGCAGGAGTTATGCCTCGGTTTCGCCTAAAACCGAGTTAGTAGTGTCCTTTAGGCATCGGTTGCTGGGCAACCGAGTTAGTAGCTCTTATCAGAACCAATAGCTGTCAGTGGAGCAGGTTTGGGCAGAGTTTTATGCCTCGGTTTTACGTAGAACCGAGTTAATAGTGTGCTTTAGGCACCGGTTATGGAACAACCGAGGCATATATTTAAGTTATTATTACGACTCTGCCACCGCACTATTATACGCTTCGGGTTCGCTTAAACCGAAGCATATATTGCGCTTCCTAATCCCATTTTTTTACTAGTGTAATATGGGTTTTCTACCTCGGTTCCCTTTGAACCGAGGCGTATAAGTTGGTCGAAATTACAAAAATGTCACCTTATTTTGAAAGACTTAGGTTTCTTCTAACTGAAGTCTATTGCGCGAGTTAAAATTAAAAGGAAAAGTGAGGAGAGGAGAAACTTAAAAAAGAACAAGAAGAAAAGGTGAAAAAAAAGAAAGAAAGAAGGAAATCAACCTACATGATATTTAGTGAAACATTTGTTCTTATGCATTTCCTTTTAGGTACTTGGATTTAACAACTTCAAGCCGACATTTAAATAACTATAATTTAGTAAATTCTTCAATTTGAGTGTCAAAATATGATTTTGATTTCTTTACATTGAGAAAATAATTTATTTTACAATTAGTTAGAAAAAAAAACAATTTTTATACAAAATAAATCACATAAATATTAAATATCTATGTAGAAGACAATTTGCTACAAACTTTTATTTCACATGGTAACAGTCAGTTATCTAACTTTTATTTTTAAACAATGTAAAAACACTATTAACTTTTGAAAGAAAACTAATAATTAGTATAAATTATCTAACACAATCAATAGTCTCATATTTAAATCTTAAATGTATATTTTAAAATTTATTATTACTAACAATCTTATTTCTAATTTAATCATAATTGTCTGACAATACTACCTTAATTAGCGTGTTTTTTATCCAACAAGGTAGACCAAGTTTATATAGTTTTTTTTAATAGAAATGAAGTTCAAGTTTTTAGGTAAAGGTATATTATATTTAATGGAAAGTGAACTTTTTCGCATAAAGAGTAAGTATCTTAATTAATCTAAAGGATGGCAACAAGGATGACCTAATTAAAGATAGAATCAGCCTCTGACATTATCACGTTAGAATTGCTAGTTTAATTTTTTTTTATTCAATATAATATGTTGCTTTTTATTGTTTTTGTGCCCCCACTAATTATTAATTAATGTTAGGTTTATTTTAAAAGTTACATATACAGTTCCTTGAGGAGAGAGATGTCTTTTAATTTTTGAACTTTTTACATTGTGTAGACAAATCCCGTGAATTTGCTTACTAGGCAACAGTTACAAGTTATAAAAATGATTTATTTAGAGTAACTTTCAAGTTTAGTTCTTATGAACAAATTAAATATTTTTCTTCCGAGCTAGACACAATTAAATATTTTTCTTACCACTAGATTGAAGAAGAACCATGACAAAATAAAAATTATAAGAGATCAAAATGGAAATATGATGAAATTATATCTTAAATAAAAATAAACTTTGAGTTAGTGTGATTCTATAAATTTTATAGTATTTGTAATTCATGGCCTTAATTTTTGGAATTTGATGGGTATCATGGGACCACCACTACAAAAGCATGGTTTGACATGTGCAAGGAACATGCATTAGAATTTAAAACATAACCAAGAATGAATATTTAATTTCTTATAAAAAATTATTTTTTATATTTTAAAAGTTTAATTTTTCATTTTAATAATTTTGCTATTAAATTTTATATAATATTTTAAAATAAAAAAGAAAAGTAAGTTTTATTTTAATAAAAATATACAAATAAAGTAATGACCACATCACACTTTCACCAAAAACTTAAAAGTAATTTATGAGTTTTTTCTATAATATACTTCACTTTTTTATCTATCTAATGAACTTAAACTTACTTTAATTTCGAACACAATCCTAAATTCTACTCATTCATTGACCATTGTTACTTGTGAAGTGCTATGGCCAAACAAATATTTGCATGAAAAACAAAAATGGTAGCGAGGATTGTAGTTGCATGAAAAACAAACGATCTAATGTATTATAGTTTTATGTTTCACCAGTTAGTTATTGATATCATGAAATACTTTTTGATAAATGATAATGTAACACACTTTTAGATTCATTTGACACTTTTAGATTCATTTGACACATTACAAAGATAAAATGGTTATGAAAGAATAAATTTTTGTATTTTTTAAAAAAAAAATAGAGTAAAAAGTAAGAAAAGATAGTATCAAATAAATATAAAAAATGTATGTGTCAAAGTATCATTTTTTTTATTCTTTATAGTTGATGACTTGATGCCTTAATGTTATGCAATAAAATACACTTTTATATTTATTTGATATATATTAATTTTTTTTTCAAAAAAGAAGAGAATAAAAAATTAGAAAGAATAGTGTGAAACGAAAGTAAAGAATTTATGTGTATCAAAAGTATTATTTTTCAATGTTATTGTCACTTAATTGTATCATCCTAAAGGAAACTGTCATGTAACTATTTGAACTTGAGAAACTAGCATGTATATTTTCATGAAATGTTGATTTGTATATGATAATATGCGTTCCTTTATGTTATTGTAATGGCTTGCAACGGTGGACATAATGAGGTAGCATTAGCAAAATTTCTAAGAGCTTTAACATGTATACATTCATTGTTCTGGTTTGCATTTCATAGCATACCAACAAACTAGCCACAAGAGATTATATGAGTGTTCCCTTTGGGCCAAACAATCATGTATAAATAACCAAACTATTATCAGGCTTATATGAGGGTTAAATTGCGGAATCACATGTATATGAGTATATTTTGGAAACTTATACGTTCATACTATCAACTTTTTTATAATAACTATACTACATCACCCTGGAAAATGTACTTGTGCAGCAATAGACTTGTTCTTCTGCATCCTTCAATATCCGAAATATCTCATAATGGTTTGAGTTGATGCTTACATTGCTGTTGAGACCAATAGGCATGAGCAGCTAAGACCCTATCCAAAAGCTCCTGAGGAACAGGTTCTCCCCTTCTCTGTTGAGGTGAGATTCTAGCAGTGTGCACTAATGTCTTCCACTTATCCTACAACATTCTCATAGTCACCAAAGTGTTGCAACAATGCAAATATTGCATATTTTTATATGTGTGGATGAATGTTCCTGCCACTTTAAGGATTTTTCTTACAAGGAGAAGTATAATTGCAAACTTGAGAACTACTAGAGAAGATAGATCACAATGAAAACACCAAATATCCAATGTCAAATGCTGTCACTTAACTATTTTGCTAGAAAACAATGAAAACAAAGCGTCACATGAATTGCTGACCTTCAAATCAACGTAAGTTCGATGTTTTGCATGGTCAAAAGCACGTTGTTTGACATCACGCCACCTTCAACGCACAAGTAACATTTAATATCACGAAGAGGGTACAGCTACTCATTAACTAAAAACATAAAAGACTAAAACTTTATCAACATACCTTCCAGTTCCAAGTTTTTCAACAGCCTGAACCAATGCTTCTACTTCTAGAACCGAAAATGGCCTTCTAATTCGGCGTTGTGCAAAGTCAGGATTCCCAGATTTGCGTCGAAATGGAACCACAGCCAATGCCTCCATGTTAATGGCCGGAACTGCCACTAGAGTGCGACATTTTGACACGTTATTGTTTGCATAAGTATCTGGTTGAGAGGAGACCACATTAAGATCACCCTCGACACAACTTTCGATTTTGATCCTAGAACGTTCTTGGGATACATTGTATGTTCCTTGTTGTAACATTAAAGATGTTGATAGCCTGTTTATTGAATATCGTCAAATTTGTAACTGTTTATTCAAAAGTAATTCCATGGATGAAAGGACTAAGAAAGATAGATGACTATCACATAAAAAAATAACTGAATATGGTAAACAGAAATGGCTTGTTGAAAGGTTACTTGGATAATTTTTGCTGCGAACCAGTGGTTAGAAAACAAGGGTTATCATTGCATGAAGATGGAGAATTTGAAGTATGTCTTGGCTCCAACATGAATCCTAATCTATGACGTTTGTCATCTTGAGATATTCCTGTTTGGATTAAAGTTTTGCTATCATCTCGGACTTTCTTTCCCTGAAGAAGAATTCCTACATGTAATTCATTTCCAAGTATAGTTGTCACAGCCTCCATTACTGTCCTCTACAAAATAATAGCAATAACAACAATAAGAAGAAGAATTAATAATAATCATAAAAGTAGACAAAGTGAGCATAAGAAAAGGTACAATGAGTCACTATAGTTATTATACTTGCTTTATATTTTTGAAATCTATTTTCATTTGGTATGGAGGCATGAGAACATACCATGAAGGTGGTTTGGTGTTAGGTTTAAGGCTCAGATTATGCAGTAAATTTGTTCATGTTTCTCAGTTTGTTTTATAGTTCATTGCTTTAGTCACAAATGATAGAAATACACATAAAATGGAGTATAAACCATGTCAATAATGTGTGTTACTTAGAAAGAAAAAACTAAACTGCTTACTTTCAATGAACCGATAGTTGCAGTTTCAGGTATATTAATGAAAAGTTCTGGGACTTTAAAGGATTTTATGCTCAGCTTCACTGTAAGGTAAAAATGAAATTCGTTAAGACCTTATATAACAAGATGTTATGTTAGACTAAATTAGGATCAGATGTTGGTAATTGGTAACATTGATTTTCTTACCGTTACAACCCTTGGACCCAGAATGCACTTGTTGACCAACTATAGAGGATGATTCTTCAATTGCTGCATGTTATTAATTTGACCATTTAGCCAAAGTTGAGTGAAAGCCTAAAAGGAAACCTACATTACAACGAAAAGTAAGAGGTAGGAAACCAAGCATTGTAGCACCTGTACCATGATTTGTGTCATTGACCCTTGTGGTATCAGAAGAATCGAACGTGCCTTGGCATTGAGACCCCCTATCAGAAGTGGATGATGAGGTCTGGTTGAAGAACTTCCTCTTCTTAAATGGGTACATCCTTTGTAAATTTTCAAGCTCAGAATTGTCCCTACTATTGTTCTCATCTATGTCAACACAATTTACTGACTATTAATATATATACAAAATGTGCAAACTTTGGAAATTAACTAACATTCATGAATATATACATCAATATAGATTTCTTGTTTCACATTTGGTATGAATTCAAAACCAACTGCAAGCAAAGCTACATACCACTCATAAGGGAACTTGCATATTTCAATTTTTGCATATCTGGTGGTGTGCTATATATCTTATCCCTGGAGTTTAGTTGAGTGCTGTTAACTAAGTTTTCATCATCATCTCTACCTAATTTCCTGCCACTGGAAGTGTTGGGGAAGGAATCAATATGCCTATGGCCTTCCAATGACGACTTTGCCACATTATTTTCTGAGCTGCAATCTTTAGACACTTTGCAACTTGGTTCTATTAACCCCTCAAAGCAGCCTTTAATGTGAGTGTTTTTCTCATTTACTCTTCTTCTTTTTCCCCTTTCATCTTCCCTTTCAAGGATATTTTGGCCTTGGCCTTCAAGATGGTTGCCAGGAAAAGATGAACTGTCCATGACTCTGGCAAGAGTTTGCATAGAACATAACACTGATGAGTCATGACAAGTTTGCAAAGTGATTAAATTTACCATAAACAACAAAACCTTTACTGCACTATGTAATAAACATTTGGTTGATCATTTGTTAGTGAGTCAGAACTTTTAATTATCAAGAGAAACAACTATTCAAATGTACCTAAGGTTCTCATGTTTCCCTTGCCTGCTAGGGACACAGGCAGAGACAATTTCACTGCAATTTCCATGCTCACATAGGTCCTTCTTAAATGATCCTCTTTCATCCTCAAGCTTATCCTTCATGTCAGCACTAGAGAAAGTGTGAGGATCTTTTGCAGAAGCTACATTGTCAAGACCAGAATTCTCACTCTCTTGTAAAAAGTTGCCAGCTACATTAGCCAATATTTCAAAAGCTTGTATTTGGTTATTTTCAGGTTTCTTCTTGATTGTACCCCTACCCTAAACCATGTACTAGAATTATCAAGATTTGAAACAGAACTAATAATACAACTCAACAAGCATGAGAAAAGAAGGGAGAAAATTTAATTTGCTTACCCTAATTGACCTTGAAGCTTTGGGAATGGCAGGCCCTTTATAGCCATTAAAACCATAGTTCACCTTCTTCTGCAACATCATTTTAGATAATCATTCCTATAAGGAAAAGTCATAAGATAAAATGTAATTGACTTCCTGTGGTTTTGCAAACACCAAGAAATGAACCTGTCAGAATTATCAAATTTCAGTCAGTAGTTTGATGAGTCTTTCATTACACCTAGTTGCATGTTCAAAATGTTAAAGGGTCTTAACTCATTTAGTTAGAAACTAGTCCCATGCAAAGGCAAGCAAAGTAACACTTTTCTTATTGGTAGCTATGTTTCATTAAAAAAGCTAACAAGCAAGAAATTTTCTACAATTGGTAAAAACGGAAACAATTTACAAAGGAACCAGGATAGAAGATACTAAGATAAAAATAGGCAATAATAAAAGTGAAGAAGCTTTAAATATCAATGCCAAAATTAAAGGAAAAAGAATAGGACAAGATGACATGCATAAAAATATCTTTTTCTGGGATTGGGTTATATGATAATGATGTTAGAAGTTACTTGATTCTTGAAACTCCGAATGAAAACAAGCTTCTATCATAATGAAATATCAACAAGAAAAAAGAGATATTGAAACACCTGCACTTAACGGGACATTAGAATAACACCCCTTCAACCATGTTAAAATAACTTTTTTCTAGTTTGAAATTCAAGGAGATAAAATACCCTTCAAAAAAGAGAAAGAAATACAAAAAGTAAAAGAAAGAAGATGTTTTCAATTAATTTTGAAACACAGAAAAACAAAAGCCAATTGCAGCACGAGGATTATAATCATCCAAAACATATTCCTATTGAACAAAGTTAAGAATAACAGAAACAACTAGCGAAAGAAACACTGAACATATTCCGAAAAGAAATAACACATATCATCAATTTAATGTATTGAAAAAATGGATCTTAAAGCCCCCTGTGACCCTTTTAAGGAGACAACATGCGACAGGTTTTACAAATCTATTGCCACTTTGCATGTATGAGAGAGATGAATTATACTAATAAAAGAAAAATATAGAAAGAAAAGGCAGAAAAGCTATAGGAATGTACATGAATAAAATGAATCAAACAAGAAAGGACCCAGAAAAAAGAATTGTGGAAGGAAGATGGGCAATGCAAATTCCAATAGTAATGGAGGAAAAATGAGAAAGCAAATGATGAAAGTTAGTCTATTGAAGAAGTGATGAAAAACAGTAAAATACCGATGAATCATAAAACCTTTTTGTTGTGTTGCATTGTGTTTGCACCAAAAGATGAACACTTATTTTTGTGTGTAAAGAAGTTTTGATGAAAGGCAATAAATAATAGTGTAGGGATATTGTCTGATAAACCAAAACCTCCTGAAAACCACCCAAACTGGTGTTTGTTCTTAAACCCCTCACAACCCCAACAAACTATATGAAATGTTTGACCACTCATATCCTAGGAAGGGACTATGATGTAAGATGATGTTAGATTGGCTATAGAAGGTTGTGTCAGCAAAACCACTTGGATGGAACGGTTCCTTCGTTTCGGGTGATCCACTCACTCCTCTCTCCATGTCACTTCTTTGCTTACCACGTGGAACATTCTCCACTCATTTGGGTTCCTTTCTTAAAAAACAAATGATTGAATGAGTTTCAAAACATAAGCCACTCCTTGTCCCTATTTGCCAACAACTCCCCAAACTTTCAAAATCATTGTCTAAAAACTAATATAAAAACGAGACTAATTCCTTTTTTTATATTATTGGCAATGAAAACAATATGAGCTTTGGTTTTTTTGAGCCAAAGACAGTTAACGAATGTTGGTTTATCATAAAAACTTAGGCAATGTCAGAAAATATAACGAGTAATGCATTAACCAGGTTAAAACACTGCGTTTTTATTCAATTAAAAAATATCATATTTTACACTTATTCTTATCTTAAAGCTGACAAATATATGGATTTATTTTAAGTTTTCATAAAATTCAAAATGCTTAGACCATACATTTTTAAATGTTGATTTGTTTAAGTTATATAAGTGAACGTTCCAAATTGTAATAACGAAACAAAAACATATGTATTATAAGAGTGCACAACCTAATTTCACAAAATTAGTTCAGGATAATGAGATTTATACCAATATATATTATGTTATAATTTGGTAATATTTATAATTAATGCATGTGTGATTTCTAAAACACTGTCTCACATCCAAATCATAAAATATAGGATAAAAGGGTCAGATAATATATTATATGATAAATCCAATCGATCTAGGATAAGTCATTGATAAGTTTTAGTATTACATTATGGATGTGAATTTTCAATTTAACTCATTTTTTTAAAAAATGACTTAATAAAATGTTTATATACATTTATATATTATAATAATTTGGTGATATATATATAGTGGTCGATATAAGATTTTTAACAAAATTCTTAAATTATAATGAAAAGACAAAATAATTGTGATATTTCATTAATAATTTGTAAATTTTGTACAATTAGAATGGAAGAACCACAAATAATAGATGACAATATTTTAATTATTCTATAATTGGTTAAAAAAGGTTAGACAAAAAATTAAACTTTTAAAAAAACAAAAATTAATTTAGATTTTTTTGTGAAAATTTAAAAATAAAAATCGAATGAATATTGGTCTTCCTTTGCCTTGGTTCTCTAGAGAGAAGTTTTTGCAGAAGAAAGGGTACCAATTTAAATAAAATAAAAACGAAAAAATCAATTTATACATTTAATTTATAGTATAATAAGAAGGGTTAAATATGTTTTTAGTCCCTAAACTATTAGTCGTTTCTGGTTTTCGTCTCTCTTTCAAAATAAGGTACATTTTAATCCTCCTTAAGGAAACTTTGATTTTAGTCCTCCAAAACTAACACCGTTAAAAACCAGCTGATGTGACTAACGGTAGACTGACACAATTCTTTTTTTTGTCAGAGTTTATCAGCTTTTCTTCCTCTCTCTCTCCCTCGTGTCTTCCTTCAATCCCAAAACACAAAACAATAAAATCTTCCGGTCAAGCTTTTCTCTCGCATCTCCCATCACCGGTCACCTTCCATGAACCACTTTAATGCCATCTTTAGTTGAAGATTTAGATGGCCATAAATCTAGTTCAATTACTCGTACACCTTGTTTACTGTACACATCAGGAAATCTTGCAGATCTAGTTCTAGAGCTAGAACTACAACTCCATGCTACTAAAAAACTCTCAACTATTTTATCCAAATCCTCTTCGTCGCTGATATTATCTCCCTGGTGCTCCACAATGAACCGAAGAAGCTGATCCTTGTTCATTTGGCTCCCTCCTCTCGCAAACTTGGAAAAGGCTTCCTTAAGGTCCAAAGGATGATCTGCCTTGCAAGCTTTCTCCCTTTTGGTCAAGAAATTTAACATCTTGATCTTGAATGATTCAATTTTCATTCTCACCCTTCCCTACCAATATATATATATATATATATATATATATATATATATATATATATATATATATATATCAATGGAACTGTGAGAAAAGAAACACGTGTAACTAACCAATATGTACAGTCCAAGAGTAAGACAAATGGGTCACCTTGGTAAAAGAGCCTCTGTGTTTATCTGGTTTCATTGGCTAAAAACCTTTGTTTCCTGTTTTACTGAGGAAGTTTTATTGTGCAGGCTGGGTCTGCAAAGTTTAATAATTATACATTTATGCATCCGATCAAAGTCGAAGAAAATAAAGTTAGTAATGTATGTTGCATTGCTTTCATTATCCCCGAAATTCAAAGAAAAAACGGGTTTTTTGGCATATGAGGTCAACTACGCGGAATGAGCCGTACACGAAATAGCTTGTGATATTAAATGGCTTAGTTACATCAGAGCTGGTTTGAGAGTCACTGTTTCTTATTTCTTTGTCTATCCTTGAATGCTTTTTATATCAAATTTGCAGGCTATTGGAGTTTTCTGCTAATCAAAACTCCATCGTTAAGTTTTCTCTCCAGGCTCATAAGCTTAGAGAATAAACATGAGTTTTCGATTTCCTTCTCCTTCTGACGATCGGTGTGGGTTCTTCTCTCGGGGCTGGCGTTCGTGATTTTGATGATGGTGGTTGTCTGACCGGTGATGGGAGATGCGAGAGAAAAGCTTGAACGGAAGATTTTACTGTTTTGTGTTTTGGGATTGAAGGAAGAGACGAGGGAGAGAGAGGAAGAAAAGCTGATAAACTCTGACAAAAAAAAGAATTGTGTCAGTCTACCGTTAGTCACATCAGCTGGTTTTTAACGGTGTTAGTTTTTGAGGACTAAAATCAAAGTTTCTTTAAGAAGGAGGACTAAAATGTACCTTATTTTGAAAAAGGGATGAAAACCAGAAACGGCCAATAGTTTATGGACTAAAAACATATTTAACCCTTTCTTTTTTGTATGAACTGGCTTATCGCAAAAGGAACAACTGTAGCCTTAATTTTGTTTATTTTGTTTTGAAATCTTAAAAGTTTCATTCTTACTATCTTCAATTTTTTTTTCCTTTGTCTTTAGAGGTGCTTACAAAATGAACATTTTCTATCATTTTTTACTTTATTCTTTTATCTACTTGCACATAGTATGAAATAAGCTCATTCTGAAACCCATCTACACCTACAAATATGTGTTTTTCTCTTCTTCGAAAACACAATTTCACACATATTCTTCGTTCACATACCTACAGTCATTCTCATTTTCTTTATTTTTCTCTTAGATCCTGGATTATTTACTCTTTTAAAGTTTTTTTTTTCTAGTTTTGAGATCTTCCAAACTATCTATAAGAAATTCCTATTATGTTTGAAAAATTCACTCATCATCCTGAATTAGATGACTACATAATTCACATGATTATTGAGAAAAGCGAAAGAGCAAATATATTATAATATTAATGAAAAAGAAACCCTAATTTCAAATTTCCAAAATCATACATAAATAAAGTATGATGATTTATTTAAAAAGACTTTCTAATTGTTAATAATTATGTATAACCACATGCTTTAACTCATATAAATATAAAAATTATAGCATAATATTCTCATACCCTGATTGATGATGAAAATAGAATACAGTGAGTACGTGATCTTCCAAATATAAAAGACCTTAGTTATTTATTTTTGTTTTCTCTCATAAAAAAATACATCAAATAGAGTATATAATATTACTTTTTTTTTCAAATGGGACCATGATCTATTTTGTAATTTCTGTCAATTACATTCCAAATTTTAATAATTACCCCTAAATCAAATCAAAATATTACTTTATAGCATTTACACGCCAATCTTTCGTAACAATTGTGCTATTAATTATAAACCTAATATTAATTGATCATTTTATAATTTTAACTAAATATATAATACGTTTAACTGTTATATGAACCAGACAATTCTAACAAGCAATATAAAGTTGGTCGGTGCAATTGTGATTTTCATCGGGGAGAAAGAAGGAGAAGATAAAACAGATTTTCACTTTTATTGTGTACGTGTGTGTTTTTTAATGGCCTAAATGGCCATATTTAATTTGAATCGAGAAGAAAAAGAAGGGAGACTCAAGAGAAAGAAGAAGAAAAAACAAAGAAAGACACCACATGGAATTAGTCTATTAAAAAACACAAATATAGTTATCTAATTTGTTCTTAAAACATGATGGGCTTTGAATTATTATTTTTTAAAAGAATATGTATGAAACAATATTATGAGATAAATTTAAATTATTATTATTTATATTAAATAATAATAAAAAAACAAAATTAAACGTTTACAACTTGTTCAAACATTAATTTATTTAAAGTAAATAGTTGATCTAGTATAACAAATATTGTCATATTTTGTTTAGAACAATAAAAATAAAGGGTTAAATATGTTTTTAGTTCCTAAACTAGTGGTCGTTTTTGGCTTTCGTCCCTCTTTCAAAGTAAGGTACAATTTGGTCCTCATTCTTTTCGAAACGTTCGTTTTAGTCCTCATTTGTTGCTAAATGAGGACCAAATTTTTAAACAGTGTTTAGTTTTCGAGGACTAAAACGAACGTTTCGAAAAGAATAAGGACCAAATTGTACCTTAATTTGAAAGAGGGACGAAAACCAGAAACGGCCAATAGTTTAGGAACTAAAAACATATTTAACCCAAAAATAAATTACAATTTTAATACAAAATTTTTAATTATGTTAATTAATTTTGTTTAAGCTTATTTAATAGTTATTTGTATTTAGTAATGGTCACATATATTTATTCGAGAAAAAATAATGTTAATATGTAATTAACTAAAAAGCTCCCTTGAAGGTTTTGGTATATCAATGTTAAGTTTTTCTTTAGTAAATATGCCTAAGATATTTAATTATCTCAATTACTAACATAATTAAAAACATATTCAATTACCCTAATCTTTAACATAATTCGAACAAAATTAACATAACTAAATTTGTTATATTAAGCCATAAATGTTTTTCTTATTAGGGTTAAATATGTTTTTAGTCCCTAAACTAACGGTCGTTTCTGGTTTTCATCCCTATTTCAAAATAAGGTACATTTTAGTCCTCCTTCTTAAAGAAACTTTGATTTTAGTCCTCAAAAACTAACACCGTTAAAAACCAGCTGATGTGACTAACGGTAGACTGACACAATTCTTTTTTTTGTAAGAGTTTATCAACTTTTCTTCCTCTCTCTCCCTCGTCTCTTCCTTCAATCCCAAAACACAAAACAGTAAAATCTTCCGATCAAGCTTTTCTCTCGCATCTCCCATCACCGGTCAGACAACAACCATCATCAAAATCACGAACGCCAGCCCCGAGAGAAGAACCCACACCGATCGTCAGAAGGAGAAGGAAATCGAAAACTCATGTTTATTCTCTAAGCTTATGAGCCTGGAGAGAAAACTTAACGATGGAGTTTTGATTAGCAGAAAACTCCAATAGCCTGCAAATTTGATATAAAAAGCATTCAAGGATAGACAAAGAAATAAGAAACAGTGACTCTAAAACCAGCTCTGATGTAACTAAGCCATTTAATATCACAAGCTATTTCGTGTACGGCTCATTACGCGTAGTTGACCTCATATGCCAAAAAACCCGTTTTTTCTTTGAATTTCGGGGATAATGAAAGCAATGCAACATACATTACTAACTTTATTTTCTTCGACTTTGATCGGATGCATAAATGTATAATTATTAAACTTTGCAGACTCAGCCTGCACAATAAAACTTCCTCAGTAAAATAGGAAACAAAGGTTTTTAGCCAATGAAACCAGATAAACACAGAGGCTCTTTTACCAAGGTGACCTATTTGTCTTACTCTTGGACTGTACACAAAAGCTCATAAACTCTGACAAAAAAAAGAATTGTGTCAGTCTACCGTTAGCCACATCAGCTGGTTTTTAACGGTGTTAATTTTTGAGGACTAAAATCAAAGTTTCCTTAAGAAAGAGGATTAAAATGTACCTTATTTTGAAAGAGGGACGAAAACCAGAAACGACCAATAATTAAAGTCATTATCCGTTTAGTTAAAATTATAAAGTGGTACGTTAATATTAGATTTATGACTAATCACATAATTGTCTTGAAATGTTATTTTATAAATACCATAAAGTAATATTCTAATTTAGTGAGAGGTCAAATTAAAATTATTAAAATCTAGAATGTAACTAGTAAAAGTTACAAAAAATAGGTTATGTTCTTCATAAAGTAATACTAGTATTTTATTGGATGTATACTCTTTAACTCCATCAAGAGACAAAACAAAAGTAGAACCTCTATTGTTATCATCCACATTATATATTCTCAATGGCAAATTCAAATAGACTTTTGCATTCTACTTTTATCATGAATTAAAATATGTGTAGTAAGAGTTAACATAATTGTGCTGTAAATTTTGAATTTATATAAGTATAAAATTATTAACAGTTAGAAAATCTCTTCAATTCTCGTTAAATCTTATCAAATTTCACCAATTTGTCGTGCTATTTGTCCTATTTATAGGACATTCATTCAATTTCTCAACAAATAATTTAATTAATACCTATTCTTTAATAAATTAAACAGAAACAATCTCGAATACCTTCAAATTGATTAAAAAAATGGGTTTAATGCAAGCGAAGAATTGACACAAGGAGAAGGACAAGAAATAATAAGTAACAAAGACAAAAACTTAAATTAGTGACTACCATAGTATAAATAATCTTTTAACATAAGCTTATATTTCCTTAATTTTTGGTAGTATGGTAATTTTTTCTTAAAAAATGAAATTTATAAATTCATGAACTGATCACAATTTTAGAGTATACAAGCAGTCATCATAAATAAATAAATAAATAGAGGCTTAATTAACTTTTAACTACTTTTGAATATTTTTAATTAAATTTATATTAAATATTCAATAAAAGATTTAAGATACAAAGTTGTGACAATAATTGTGTCTTGAATTTTTTTTTCTAAAATTAAATGTTAACAATAATTTTATAATTATACATTCCAAATATTTTATAATAAGAAAAGTTATGATTAAGTAAAGGTTAATAAATAGAGTAAGAATCTATACATATATAGATGATGTCTATTTTTGTTACACAATTTGTATTCTTATTTTATCCTTTATAATATAATTATTAATTGATTTTTTAGAAATAACCTCTATTTTAAAATATGTTGTATAAAACTGTTATATGTTTTTTTTATTATATTTGTAATTTCTATTATTAACATTCAAGCATTTTTATTATCTAAAATATTCTTATTTATATTAATTTAATTAATTTATATATATTATTAACTTATAATATAATACAAATATTCAACATGTGAGTGCTTACGCTAGTTAATAGATAAAATCTATTGAATGTCACACATCCTCCTACTCTTTTGAGTTTTAAAAGATGCAAGTGATTTTTACTTTTATTTTTTAAGTATGGAATTATGAGAATACGTTTTGCATCTCAACCAGTTGCAATGATCTGAAGTGATCCTGGATATATTATATTAAGGAAAATAAAATACAAAGTGAAAAATGAAAACCAAATCAAACCAATTAATAAATTCTAAACCTAAGGATCAATTTTGGCTCTACAAAAATTTAAGAAATAAAGGGTGGAATCCTACCCAAGAGTAATTACCCTAATTTCTAATGCCAAAAGTAGGAAAAATATCATCACATCTACTTCCTCAGAATTTATTAAAGGTTATACATAAAAAACACTAAAAAAAGAGTTAGAGATACCAATTTCAATATCAATTAGTTTTAAATAATAAATAGATATTTAAATAAAATAAATTGTGTCTATACAAGCAACATAGCTTCAAGGTTTCTCAAGGATAAAAGATAATTTCAATCCCAAAATTCACAAAGAAAAGGAAAAATTAAGGATGCATGTCTAATTTATCTACTAAAATCTATCGATGCAAAGTGGACTGATGATTACAAAGCTCCTATTCATTAATCAAACACTACAACATCTAGTATAACAAAACAACTCCAAAAGCAAAAGAAAATTTCAAGCATTCAAATCATGATACATTACAAAGTCAAAAACAATATGGCGCTTAAAAAAAATAGAAAGAATTCCACAAGGATGCTTATTATTCAGCTTCCAAATTATCATATTGCCAAGGGTTGAAGTCTGGTCTGTTGTCAGATTCATGAATGCCCTCTGAAGTATCTATAGCAGCACGATGTTCAGTATATTTACCATTGTATTGGTACACTTCCAACTCACCCCAAGGGGTCGTAGTTACTTCATCTGTTAAATCAAACCATCTTGGTGTGAATTTATGGTTCTTGGCCTCTCGGTTTCTCTTCTCAGATCTTTGCCTCTCCTCCAAACTGATAAACAAGTTTAAGCACATGCAAGGTAAGGAATTAGGATCTCTGAGGTGATGCCAATAGAGAACAATCAAAATTTTAAAACCTTTCTTCATCTTTCTTACCTGCTCTTCTCATAACCAGATGTGGATAGATCACCCTTCTCAAGGGCCATTCTATCAGGACGCAGACGAGAATCAGATGCCAACAACTTCTTGGGAGCAGTGTCAAAGCTATTAATCTTATGTGCAAAATGTGTGTATTGAAACTTGTCCTTCTTAGGGACATCTGCAACTCTCCAAACCTGTGCAGAATGGAACAGGTTACTTCACACACATTATTAATATTTCTCCAAACAGATGCATTAAACTACACTGTATAAGGTTGAATAACGAACCTCTTTCAGTTCAGTGCCTGGAAGTGGTTCTCCTTCTGAGTCACAAACTTGGTAACTCATAAACTCGTTCCATTTTCCAGTCATCAGTATCTTGGGCTCGTCAGCAGAATTATACACGTATCCGTCCACTTCATATCTACCCGCACTGTAAATGCGAAAATCTTTCAAGTTAGATAATATGTATGACAGCAGCACTGAAGAAGTTACGGAATAAAATCACCGTATGCTGAGCAAGTAATAGGTTAAAAGTGAAGATTTGATGGCAAGAGAAAGTAGTCATACCCAAACCAGCCACATGGTTGAAAATACAGCACCACTTTGTCCCCTGTGGTCAGATTTGTCAAGATCATCTCTCCAGGTGAATCAATCCACGTTCGTCCGAAAATCAAGTTGCTAACTTTTGTAGGAGGAGGCACCAAATCAAGGACTACGCCATCTTTTTTTAGGGTAACACGTGTTCTGCATCCATGTAAAAGTATGTTACAAATGAATACAATGTAAAAAAGAAAAATGCTGACTAATGAAGATAGTTGTTGTAGACTTCTGGCATAAAAAAACTACATAATAAATTGATGTAAACTGATATGAAAATATCCTTAGCCATGAGATACAGTGCAGAATCAGGTTGTTTTGCAGAAATAATTTGTCAGTAACATAATCAAAAACCATAAACAATCCCCAGACTGATATAAGGAGAGAGAGGGAGTTTAATAACATCAAATTCCACAAATATAAGTAAAAAGGAAGATAATTGAAGAATGGTAGAGAAGTATTACCTTCCAACAGGATATACATCGACTGAGTTGCCGAGAAATTTGGTTTTCAATTTTGATGTCACATCATAAGTGAAATGTTCGTTTTCAGCATGCCCAGCACTCATTGGGGGGTGGTGGCTGACCTGCAGCAGTTTAATTTTACATGTAATCACAAGTCAGAACCATATTTAATACAGAAGCTTCTCAAAGAAACTGAAAAATTTGAATACTTCCATTACAATATGCATATCAAGGAGGCCATGCCTTAACCCCCAACACCCAAAATGAAATATGAAGAGGCATAAATACTTTGTTGTTTCAGCATTTTGTCTGAAGAATTGAGAAAAATAAACAGAAACTTAAACGCACCTGCTCTGCTATAAATGTCATGTCACCATGGTTAACCATTTCGTAAGTCTCACCAAGAATTGGATTGAATGGCTTCCATGTTCGCTGATATGCATAGTAGACAGATATGAAGAATGATGCTGCAAAAATCATTTGTAAGCTCATGTTCCATGCAATGTATACAGAAATAACAGGGACAGGGTCAAAGTAATCCGTACAAGCATATACTAGTCTCATGTATGGATCCTCGGTCTTGTCCGCCATATCCAACAGGTAAGAATACTCCATAAGCTGTGAAATTTATTACAATCAATGAAATTGCACTGGCAGCAAACTTGCATAAAATATTGTGTCAACGGAGTATCAAAGAAATACAGCAATTATATGTATGAGACAGACCTCAGCCATTCGCTGCAGCATTGTCATTGGCTCAAAAATTATAACTGGAAGTGTCACCATTGATGTGATATCGGAGCCAACATACTTTTGCATCATTTTCCAGTAACTATCTCGATCCTGTAAAGTAAGGGAAATAACATAACATCCAGAGATGATACACTACAAAAGGATGAAAAAATCTCCAAAGTTCATTTTGAGATAAAGACTAACTCATATGCAGATAACTAAAGATGCAATTGGTTTACACTGCACATTATCTGTAGACAATGTCAGAAAGCAAGAAGTTCACCCTAACATGCAAACAAGACCACATATGTTTGCTAAAGCGAAAACATCACAGTTCAATAAGCACATTCTCATCCCTCTTTTAGAAAAAGATAGCAAGCAGCAATTTGATCAATAAATCTAGATTCAGTTAACTTCAGTCAGTAGCATTGATAAATTTTCTTTGACTCAGATTATGTTTTCATCCCCTAGCTGTCTTCATGTTTTGTTTATACAGTCAAGTGTGCAAGCCTTTCTTCACTTCACAGTGCAAATTCAATACAAAATTATAATAAGTAGTATACCTCTTGTTTCCAACGTCCCTTTTTTGCTTCTTCTTCAACATCTTCAGTTCCGCCTTCTGGATTAATAACCTCCAGTCCCTCATAGGCCATCATACTGTGTACCCGTGTCAACACAAATAAACCTTATTAGCCCATGAAATTGAATCAGGCACACAGAAGACAAATCAAACAATTACAAGTCATATTTCCAAATTATGGTGAAACTGAAAATGAACTCAGAATGCATAATTCTGATCTAGATTAGAATATATTAAAACAATCTAGAATCTCTTACATCAACCCATGCATCATAAGTGTGAAACATCCATAAGCTAAAACACAACAGTGATATCATAATAATCAAACAAACCAACAATAAAAGATCAATTGAGAAAGATGATCTTCCAAAGCAAGGATCTCTTGCATCTAGCCTTGTTAAAATTTACAATAAAAGGGTAAATTCATTATCGTGAGACACCCCAGATGAACCAATTATAGAAAATCATCATCAAAACAGAGAAATTTAACAACTTCAAAAAATCAGACTCCAAAGGATTCATACCCATTAACGGATTTGGACATAGCACTACCAAAATTGGACAAACTGGAAGCAATAGAAGCAAAAAAGCCCCCACCACCAGAAGCAGCAGCTTGCTTAGGATCATTTGGAGCCATGGCAAAAACTAAATCAAAGAAGGAAATCCAATTGAGAGAAGAGAAGATTGTTGGAGAAAGAAATAGTAGCAAACCCGATCTACTGAGGCAAATAAAAAAGGGTAAGCTACGCTTAAATATGGTTTATTTATGAAAAGAAGGAACAGTGAATAATGAATATTTAAAAAACAATAGTAATATTATTATAATATGTAGAGAACAGCAAAGAAAGCAGTGATTTTGGTTGGCGGTTCTCGAATTTGAAAAGTCCAACCAGACTTAATGGAAAGCGGGGGGATGTTTCTTCCTTAAAGTGAGAACGGAATAGAAATCAAAGAAGAGTTTGTTCCGCACGGGCTCACAGGACGCGTGGCAGTGAGGGGGTGAAGTTGAGTTTAGAAAATCCAAATTGGCGGCTTTATGGGAAACATGAGAGGCTGTTTTGGTATTGCAATGAGAAGGATCACAACTTCTTGCCGGCTGCTTTGTTTGTGTCATCATATGATTTACATACATACATGTCATTTAGGCTAACAATGAGATCAATTTGAAATAATTTCAAAATTAAATTATCTTTTAAATAAGACAGTATTATACATAGTCTAAATTTTGATATTTTAGTTATACTGAAATCTTAAAATCTATCGATAAAAGTTTATTAAATACCATATCGAAACTAATTTATTTTAATAATTAATTAGAATTAGTTTTTTATTGAGTAAATGTTAAAAAAATAATTTTATAATAATTAGTTTCTTTTAAATATTAAAAATAGGGTTTTGTAAGTTGTCAATGAATAATCATTAGCTATAAATGTTTAATTTCATAAAAGAAATATACATTAAAGAAACATTCTACAAATTTTAAGTATTGTTTCAAATAAATAGCTGAAATTAGAAAGAGATTTTATATAAAAGATCTAAAATGAAGAAAATTAATATTTCACCAACATACACTAAAGAGTAGTATTCATTTGCTTACAAAAAAAAATGTATAATTTTTATAAGATTATACTTGATAAATATGGAATGATAACTTTAACATCTCATTTTAATAGTATAAAACTACCAAAATTAAAACGTTACATAGATGCTAAAAGAATCACTAGATAAAACAAACATCGCTAAAAGAAGATATCTACTTATGTAGATCTATCTAACAACTCATTTATTTCTTTCCTCGTCTCTAGTTGGAACAACTGAAAAGGTGAATCCCTAAGCTCACACCATTAGGTGATCATCACAATAGAGAAACAACATACAAAGACAAACACAAAAAAGCAAGGGTAAGCTAGATAGAAAACAATACATCATAAGTTTAAAGCATTTCATATAAGAATCATGTATAATTTAATCCAATCCAAACATCTTAACATGCAAAGACCTAAATCGACTGTCCGAACTTAGAATGATTGTCGAGCTATAGCGGGTTGTGCACTCGTGGTGGTCTCTACTGCTTTGCAAAACCATTGCCAATGGGTTTCACCCTACCACACTCACGAGATTAGTCTATTCCGAGCCTTGGAGCATACTAGAAGCCTCCAAGACTAAGACCTCCTGCTACTACTCACTACATGGATCAATCCTCTCTGCATGAGAATGAAAGACCATTGGAGTTTCAGGATAACCAAGACTGAGCTCTCTACAATCATTCTAAACATACTTGAACCTTACCAAGAGGATTCACTTTGGAACACAACATAGAGCACCACCATGTAACCTCTCCGTGAGGATCATGGAATTATGTCCATCAACCATACTTTGAAACCACGTACTTTCATTTGTAACATAACTCATGACATGATCAATCATATAACTTAATACACATTCATACATGCTTAACAATGGATCTCAAAACTTTATTTAAATCAAACTAGAACAAAGAATTAAAGAGTAAACTAAAACCTGAACCATTCGCTCAGCGCACCCTCTCGCATAGCGAAACCAGAGGTTTCTCTCACAACGACCCAACTCGTTGTGCAAATCTTCAGACAGAGACTCACCCCCTCATAACCATTCACATAGCGATTAAATTCGTTGTGCGAATAAACTCTTAATTGTATCAGACCCTAACCCCTCGCATAGCACCCCAAATCGCTATGCGAGAGCCCTAGGCAGTGGCTCAGACTCCCCAAACACTCGCAGAGCGCACCTATTCGCTATTCGAATAAAAATTGGCTGTAGTCCTAGACCTCAACCAGGCGCATAGTGTCCTGATTCGTCATGTGGATCATCATACAGAGAGCAAACCTCTCAAACCATTCACACAACGCGTCTATTCGCTGTGCGAATGCCCTGGTAGAGAGTATCTTGCCAGGGTGACTCGTTGTGCGAATCCATTCGCTCAGCGAGTCTGCATAATCTGCAACACCAAATTCTACAGAACTATGCAACTCAACACTCTTTTCCAAATTCTAACTATTTTTCCCAACTTCTAACCATCCTAATTCATGCTATACACCTAATTATATTTAACTAATTGATTTTAAACCTTCCTACCATCAATCTAAAGTGTTTATGAACCAATTTCTACTCCAAAACTTACAATTCAACAACCTAAGAACCCAATTCATGATTTATCACTTTTGACACATTTTTCAACCAGGTAAGACTTCAAACAGGTCACATTTGACTCACTAAAACTATCCCAACAGACCAATCATGTATCTAACCCCAAATTCTCAATTTCACTACTTCACTTCATCAAAACTAACTTAACCAAGACAAGAATTGAATACATTCCTACCCACTCATAACATCACAGATTTCCAATACTATAAACATCCAATAACAGAGCAACCATCACTTCATACAGTTCAAAATCTCATTTCATCATTCCATACTCAAATCAATCAAATTTCATCATATTTATTTACCCTAAAACATGATTTCAGCTCAACCAATTCCACAATCATATTCTCAACAAGGTACACAATTAATTACAATTTAAAGACGTTTCTAGCTTCCCTTACCTCGACTCAACAACTCCAAAACCTCTAAACGATCCACAGATTTCTTGCGGCACAAGGAACTTCTAGAAAACCTACAAATCACCGATTGATGATTAGAAACCAACCTTAGAACCACAAACAACCAATAATCAAGGAAGAAGATCACTTGATACATGCAAAACAGAAATTTTTTACCGAATCAAGAACCCTAAAATTCCAAAGAAAGGAGTTTTTAACTTACTTGATCTTAACAACAAATTGATCGGATAGAATGGTAGACCTTGACGTCGTGATCGTCTAGGCATCTCCTGATCGTCGAACAAATGATCCAAAAGTGAGAAAGGTTAGAGAGATGGTAGAGAACTCTAAAAAAGTAGTTTCTAGAGAGATGATACGTTTTAAAATAATGAAACTCATTTATAACAAAACTATTTATAATAAAACCGTTTAATATTAAAATAATCGAGTCTCACTATTTTTAGACTACCACCACTTCTAAAATATCATTTTCTGGGGTTTCACAATAACAAGGATGTTCTTATAGTATATTAAATGTATTTATCAAATAACTAATAAAATTTGGAAATTTAATACATGATATATTACTTATCAATATTTTTCAATTAATTTTGTCATTCATAATATTAGGTTTTGTCAAAATAATTGATATACATTTACTCATTTTTCTTTCTTTATAACACTTTCTAATAGGTAAATCTTATAATCTAAGTCACTAGATAAATTATAGAGTACGGATCCTAAAAATATGGTAACATCAACTTGCAACTCTATCCATTATTTAGTCAAACGGTCAACTAATTACTTTGAAGTTATAACACCCCTTCTTTCTAGGTACATAATAATATCTTAAAGGAAAAATCTTCATACATTTGTATCTAAGCTTTTTTATGTTACAAAATTAAATTTTTTGAAAAAATTATTGATTAAACTAATATGTTAAAGGTTAACTTATTAATAAACAGTGACATGAGTTTTAAATAATATACAAGATTTTGTAAATGATGATATTTTTAGTTCTTATAAAAGTGTTTTTAATGGTAAATGTTTGACAAAGATCTTAAGTATAAAATCTATTATTTACAATGTCTTATATTAAAGGAATAAATAATATCTCTTTCATGGAAAATAATCTTTTCTACAAAATATTTTCAAAATAATTAAAATTATTACAAAAAAATCAATATGGGATTTACAAAAAATTATTCAAGAATTTAAACTTGGATATATTATTAAAAGGAAAACTGTATAAGATCTCAAAATAAGATTTTGCCCTAAAAATGCTCTAAGAAAATTGGTAATGAAATTTTTTATAAGATATTCCATAACCATTCTCTCCATGATAAAGCATCAATTAGTTTGACATCTTTAGCATTTTTAAAATGTCACACTCAATTAGGTCTACGTTTAGATGAGAGAATTTTGTTTGATAAATGCCTAGAAAAACTCAAAATATACTAGATGACTATTGAAACATTCTTCCCTTTCTCCATTTCTAACAAAATCACCAAATCGTCTACTTTTGCATTAAAATCCTCTCATTAAATTATTTGTAACTCTAATTATCATAGGAATTTCAATACAAAATAAAAAGACAATATCAAAATAGTTCTAACAAATTATACCCATATAACTAGAAAGTTGGGATAAAATTCCCATGACTTACTCTTCAATTCACCTTTTCCTCTAAAACAATTAGTTACACATAGCACGTGAGAATAGTTAGAGTTAGGTTGCTAGTACCAAAGAAATTCATTTAGAGAAAAAGTACCTACACACAACTAAGACATATCCCTAATAAATATATATATATATATATATATATATATATATATATATATATATTCTTGAAACTTTAGAATGTTTTCACCTTTAGCTCTATCATTACTGTTTCGGTATGGATGCTTTTCGGTGTGTCTTTGTTGCTTCTAAATGTCTGGGACGTTCACTTCTCCTCAATTGTTGTCGTTCGCGCTCCTTCAGCTCGTAGCGCTCGTCTACTTTCACCAACGGAGGGGGAGGTACCTGCGAAGATACTCCGACGCTCAAGTCAGACGTGAGTTATGGAGCCTCAGCTCTCAAGAAAGTGATTATATTATCACTGTAGAATATTATCTAGAGTCCATCTGGCGTAAGTGGAACGTACCTAGCTTTT